AAATCGTTTGCGCTGATAAAATAAAAATTGTAATTAAAGGAAGATTACCGCATTTCGGCACGGCTTACGACTTAAAAAAAAAAAAAAGGCCCTCGCTTTTTAAAATTTACCGACTGCCTCAACGACATTTGCCGACTAATTGTCTAAGTTTACCGACTAACTTGTCAAAAGGGTCTACATTTGCCGACTAACTAGTCAAAAGGGGTCAAATTTGCCGACTAAATAAACTAAAAAATTATTAATGGAGGGGGGGGGGGGGGAATGTCACACACCCCTACACCCCCCCCAGGCGCGTACCCAGCATTTTTTGATGTTTCAGATAGGACACTTTCACACATTGTGCAAACTCCAAACTTAAGTATGTTCATACCTATGCCAGATGAGGAAGTCTTGCAAAAATTTAGGAGGGCGGAGGCCTGGGAACAAAAATGCCCTAAAATATTTTTACCCCCTGCTTAAACGTGAGGGCAGGGGGTAAAAACTAACTAGTCAAAAGGGGTCAAATTTGCCGACTAAATAAACTAAAAAAATATTAATGGAGGGGGGGGCCTACACCCAAATTTACCCCCTATACAGGGGGTAAATTTTAATGAGGTATTTTAAGGAAATTTTTTTTTAATCAACATTTAAATTTAATTTATAACTTTTTTTATAACAATATTGTTTAATTTAAAGGTATTACAGTTAAAAGACTTACAATAATTTCTAATGTGTTTTTGAATTTAATTACAATGAGGTATTTTAAAATACACAAAAAAAGTTGTAAAACGTTTTGAAATTTTTAAAAGAATTCAAATTTAATTTAATCAAATAAATTACTAAATTATGAACAATATTAAAATTAATTTAAATTTAATAAAACAAATTAAATATATATTTTTTTAACAAAACGGAAAATAGAAAAAAGGATATCTATCTGTTTTTTTATCTAATCAAATATTCAACAAATATTTTTTACAACAACTTATTACAGTTTAATGTTTTCCGCCTAATCTGTTTTAAAAGACCGTATGTAAAATTCAAATAGGAAAACACTTCTGCAAGGCCTGCTTTTATGTTGTATGGATTTATAGCCGTAATAAATAGTTCAATTTTTAGGCTTTTTTCCAAACAAATAGGCTATTTGATAGCTTAATAAGGTCACACAGTTTAAGGACTTTAGATAAAAAATAAAGTATGTTACAGTTTAAATTAGTATGTTAGAAATGAATTAACTTTAGAGCTTTATTTTGGAGATAAGTTAATCTTGAAAGCTGCTTAGATTGTCCACAAACTTGATAAACATATATGAGATAAGAGTGAAAAATAGCATGATATATACAAAGCAAAGTTTCATGATCAACATAATGACGAATTTTAACTAACATGCCGTTCGAGCTGCTTAATTTCAATGCTAACTGTTGAAGATGCGATGTAAAAGATAAATTAAAATCTATTTTGATTCCAAGATGTTTAACAGAGCTAACTGGATTTATTTTCTACCCACTTAATCTGAAATTATATTTTTTAATTTTTGTTTGAACAGATTTAAATATAATAATTTCTGTTTGTTTTTTTTAAAGTTAAGGGTAATTTATTGGAACTTAGCCATTGAACAATATTAGCTAGATTGTGATTTTTAATTTTGTTAAATTTTTTAAGTGGTATGTTCATTAGAAGCAAGTTGGTGTTCCCAGTTAATTTTAGAAAGTTCTTAGTTAATATCAGAAATAAATGTTTAAACTTTTTTTTAATTTGTTGATTATTTGAAAAACAAACAAATTGTATCATGTGATCAGAGATAGAAATTGTAAGATTACCAGAATCAGTGGACACGGACGTAAAAAAGACGTCTTTCAAACGTCTTATACACGCTTTAGACGTTTTTTGAACGTCTTGTGAACGTTTTGGACGTCTTTTGAATGTTCAAAAGACGTCTTTTTTTGAACGTTCAAAAGACGTCTTTTTTTGGTCCGGTGCACATTGGGGAAATTGTCAGAAAAAAGTGAATTCATAAAAATGTTATCAATAAGGGTTTTCGTTTTTGCGGTTACACATGTTGGCAAAATTATGGTTAGAAATAGGGAATGAAAGCATAAAGATTCAAAATAATTAAAAACGACTTGTGATTCTCTCTAACTCATTAAATCTATGTTGAAATCTTCCGTTATTACAATACTTTTTGCTTCATGGCTTAACTTTTCAAGGAGAGGATTAAAATAGATAAAAATTCAGTGATATTTAAATAGGGATGTCGATATATCCATCCAAAAATGGTATTACTCTTAAGTAATACCATTTAGTAATACCGTAGTTCTAAGTGGATTTATAACTTAAACAAAAACAGAGAAAAACTCTAGAAATTTGGAGACATAAATTAGGATAGGCTACAAATTATGAAATTATGATTTAAATTTAAGTAAAAAAGCGCATCACATTTTTTGACCATCTTTTTTTGACTCTGTCAGAAAATGTTCAATGTTATATCCTTGTATGGTAATGTCAGTTATATTAGAATCCT